ACATGTCGAACGCGGTGCGCTGGCGCAGGGCGTCGTTTTTCTCCTCGGAATCCTCCTGGAAAAAGTGGTCGTACTGTGGCAGATGGAGCGTCGCCAGGATGTACGGGACGCAGTCCTCGAGCCATGCCCAGAACACGTCCTGATGGTCCTCACCTGGTGCCCACGCCGCGGCGCACGGTATGAGCCGTGCTCGGATCATCATCAGGTGCCAGAAAGCGGGGTCCTCCTCGGGTTCGCCCCTGGCGCACAGAGGAGTAGTGAGACCCGTGGGGCTAAAGCGGGGCACGACAGCGGGGCTGAAGCCGCCACTGCGTGCCTGGGCCTTGTCAGCGGCCCCGTCGAGGATGTGCTGCACGACGGTCGAGGACAAGCTGAGGACGGACTGCGATGCATGTGTCGTAGTTGACGAGGGCGTGCTCGTAGGAGACATGCTGGTACTCGCCGTAGCCGTCGTAGTAGCCGTCGGAGTCCCAAGGGGACAGCGCGTGGGGCAGGGCCCCTGGTGCTGCTCAAGCCAGGCGCTCACGATGGCGCCCAGCGGCCCGGTGCCGCGCGGACCCGCGGCGGCGGTGCTGTTCACGATCGGGCCCAAAATGGCGCAGTGATCGTATTTGTAGATGCTGTCATCGTAAAGGTAGAAGAGCGTCCCACGTTCAGCGTGTCGCAGGAAAACCTCTCCTCCGTGCTGAGGCGCACCGCCTGAAGACGGGTGTGCTCCAGCTAGCGAGGGGAGGGCCAGGCTGCAGGCAAGGCGCCACATGATGGCGAGGCCTGGCGGGCGGCGCGAGCGATGAGCCGAAAGCTGCATGTCAGCACACGTCCTCAAATACCCCTGAATGCTCATGTACATTGCTACAATCACGCCCCCTGCAAGACTACGGGTGTCCCTACACCAGATAGCTTGCGCGTGCTGCTGCCAAAACAGACATGAGGTGACAAGAAAGAGATACGACGCGAAGAGGGGAGAGATGCCTCTGAAGGCGCTTCCTCGGAGGGCTGAGGCGGGCTCTCTGAGGCACCTTCAATAGGGTTCCTGGGTGGCCCGACCCTTGTCCTTGCCTTTGTCGGCCCCTGGGGGCCCCGTCCCTGGGGTGACCTGGCCTGGCTGGTCGATCCAACCGCAGGCAGCCACGGGTTCGGCGGCCGCTGCAGCTTCCTCCTTCTTAGTTTCCAGAGTGGCCACTTGTGGCAGGTGGATGGTGCCTCCCGTGAGGTGCCCGAGGAGGGTCTGGATGTCGCCGCGCAGTGCAGCGGCGTCGGCGGTTGCCGTCTGTTGCTGGGTGACGACGGTGGCAAGCCCCCGTTCCAGCCCTGAAACGTGCTCCGTGAGTGTGGCCTGGGAGGAGAGAACGCCCGCAAGCTGCACTTGCATGTTATCCACCGTGTTGGCTAGCAGCTCGTGCTGCTGTTCCATGTGCTGGATGCGGGTCGTGGCAGCATCAGGCGGTTTAGAGGCCGATGCGAAGCGCTCGCCGAAGGTGTTGAGTTCGTGGGAGGCCACGCTGTATTCATCACCTGATGAGAGGATCTCGACGTCGTCGACGTCGCCTGGTACTTCGGCGGCTGTGGCAGCGTCGCCTTCGGTGTGGCCCCCACCTTCTGCCGCCGCCGTGCCAAGCCAGGAGTCATGGCCACCTGATCCTGGGGCGGCCATCGGTTCAGCGGCTCCGTCCGTGCCGTGCGGGGGTGCAGAGGAGCTGCGGCCTGGGGCGCAGGGTGACCTTGCGTGCGGCGTGGCGTCACGTTTCCCGCTGGAGGAGCGGTGGCGCTTGGCTGAAGGCTCCTCCTTGGGGATCAGGAGCGGTGCGACGCCCTTGCCTTTGGGCGTGGCAGTCATGAGGTCGTGGAGGTAGGGGCTCTGGGCCGCTTTGGTGAGGAGTGTGCCGGTGGCGGGGCTAAAGCCGCCACCACCGGCTGGCGGCGTCACAGGCTCTGTGATGGTGGTAGGCGTGACGATGGTAACGTTGTCCCGCTTCGGCACCACCTCAGCCAGCGGGGCCTCGGTGATGCTCCACGGGATGGGGCACCCCGCGACCTGTACCGTATAGGTGAGTGGGGGCCGATGGGCGCGCACTAAGGCAAACTGGGCCGCAGTGGCTGGGTCCCAGGCGGTGTGGTAGACCTCACAGTCCCATTTAACGGACGGGCCCGTGAGAGTCTTGGCGAGCTGGGTCAGCGTGGCGTGACGTGCCGCAATGCCAGTGATGCGGTAGCGCGTCTTGGCGAGGGTAGCCTCGCAGCCACGGATGCTGACAGCAGCAGCCTTGGCGACGTCGGACCCCCGTGGAACACGGATCCCCAGTAGGCCTGACTTGCCGTGCCTGACGACTCCCAGGGCCTTGAACTCCACCGACTTCTGGAACGCGTCTGCCATCGTGATGGGCTGGTCCTCAGGGAACCAACGGTCTGATACTTGTCGGCGGTGGGCTCGTCTGCACCTACATTGCTGAGGTCGTAGGTGGCACCGAGTTGCCCTGATCCCGCCAGGACCTTGTCGACCGCTTGGAGACTGACGCCGAAGGTGGCAGCCAGGGACCTCTTTCCGACGCCCGATCCAAACCTGCCTAGGCTTTTGCAGGGTTCGAGGATGGTGACGGCTTTAAAGTTGCCGTGGAAGAGGGCCTTGAAGGTGTCCTGAAGCTGACTATCGAGCTCCTGGCGGCGAGCGTCTTTCTTGGACTCCCTGTGCTTTTGGTTTTGGCGCGCCTTGTCCTGTGGGGCGGAGTCCCCTCGAAAAGGGCCCTTGGCGCGTGGACCACCGTTCACGGGGGCACCTCCCGAGAACTGGTCCTCGAAGGCCTGGTGCATGGAGGGGACTGCGGCAATGGCCTCGGTCTCGTGTATGGTCGCCCGAATCCAGCAGACGTGGTCGGCAGGGTCGATGGTGGCGACGGCTACTTTTTCCGTGCAGGCGACCTCCTTGGTGCCCAGCTGGTACACGGTCACGGGGACGTGCGTGTGGACCACTTTGGGCGCCTTGGGGTGACGCTTCAGGACGGGGACGGCGAGCTCGGTACCGACGTAGTTGTCGTTTTTAGGGCCCATGACAGCAATCGCGAGCTGACCCGTGGCTCGCTTGCCCTGCTCGAGGTGGTGTTGCAGCAGCCGTTCACCACTCTCGTAGTCGTGGAGGCTGATGCTGGGCTTGCACGTCTTGCCGTCGTCAGGTGATGTGGGTTCGGCAAGGACAGGGACCTTCCAAAAGGCAGGGTCCAAGGCGATGAATTGGGTGTCCGCAGCCTGAAGACGTGCGGAACCCGCTGGTGGGTGTGATGTGTCACCGCCAATGCGCTTAGGCTTGCTGCGCTGGTGATGATCGAGCGTGTAGCTAATCTGGTTGGCGGCGCACATGCGGATCAGGGCGCTGCCAAGCTTCTTCGTGTTGGACTTGTGCATGTCGTACGTTGCCTGGAGCTCGTCCGCGTTCAGTTCGGCAAGCCCGTTGTATGCGGCCGTGGGGCGGTCAGACCCCGCTTGCTTGAACGCTGCGACGCAGTCCTGCTTGCGTTGAAGGAGAGACCCTTCGGCAGCAGGGCGCGTGGGACGGGAGCTCGGAGGCTGCTTAGAAGAGCGACGGCGCTCCGGCTTCTTGGGGGCCATTGCTGCGGGCGCTCTGGTGCGGAGAGGTGACGCGAATCAGTAGGGCCCTGCTGGGGCCCCTCCGGTCTCGCGAGGCCTGGGAGTCTGACTCCGAGGCGGGGCGCTTCGCGTCGCGGCTGCGGTCTGAGTGCTGGGCACTCTCGAGCCGAGACTAGAGAGAGAGAGAGAGAGAGAGAGAGAGAGAGAGAGAGAGAGAGAGAGAGAGAGAGAGAGAGAGAGAGAGAGAGAGAGAGGCGACGGCAGTGGCCCGAACGGCGGCGCGGAGGGTATCGAAGGCGCCCACCTGAAGGCGAGGCAATGCAGTTTGGCCATCCCAGCGCGGAACGCCAAACGAACAGGAATATGAAGGAAGAAACCAGCGCCCTCTTCGATGACAATCCCACCGGCGGCCTTCGACACCCTCGACGACAGGGCGACGTAATCACTTTTTCCCAGCTCCAGCGCGACACGTAGGCCCCCCCGCTCACATGGCCCGGCCGATGAGCGAGCTGACGAAGCTCGACTCCGAGAGGGGGGGCGGTTCCACGCCCCATCCCCCTCAGACCAGGAATGGATTGCGCGCGTAGAACCCTGCAGTCGCTGGGGCCCATAAACTCTTAGATCCGAGGTTCCGGGAGGACGCTGAAGCGCGGTCCAAGGCCTCCTGAGAAACGACCGTGCGTTCCAAGGGTCAAGCTGACCTCAGCCCTGGGCCATGGAAACCAGTCCTTCACCGAGCCCCGAGAGTTGCCGCTCGCGGATGCGACGCCCAGACGGAACAACTCGGCCCCTGTGAAGGTGGACGGGGCCAGGGGGGCCCTCAGCGGAGGCTGTGGCCGCCTGGAATAACTCGAATGGCCAGACACCTGTCCAGCTCGCGAGGCTGCAGCGAGGCGACTGCCATCGCGCGCCGAGGGAGTCCTCGGCCCGCGGCGTTCTGGGCGCAATTCCGAAACTGAATCGGGCAATCGGGCGCAACGGAGCGGGGAAGAAGACAAGAAAACCCGCTCTCCGCCAGACGGCTGACGGCTAGCAAGTGAAGAGTCTGCGGACGCGCAGCCCTCTTTTCTCAGCAAATCCTTGCGATGACGCCCCCCCTTTCCTTTGCGCTCAGGGGCCGCCCAGGCGGGCCGCCTGCTCAGGAGTGTCGCCAGCTCTTTCTGCAACGCTGCGTGCCCGTTGAGCAGTGCGTTCGGTTCAGCGCGTGCGCGATCTGCTGCTGCAGCGCCGGGGGCGGCCGCGGCCGCCTCGGCCGAGTTGCAGCCCGCGACGCTGGGCGACCCCGCCCGCCGCAGCCCCTTCACCGCCCCCCGCTGCGCCGCCAGGAAGGCCCCCCTCAGGGCCACGGCGGCGCATGCCAGCAATCCTCTCGAGGCGCTGTTCATTATCCTTCTTGACCGCCTCGGCTCTAGCCGCGGCGC